AAAAAAAAAAAAAAAAAAAAGATATATCTATCTACATAGATAGATATATATATCTATGCACACATACACACACACACACACTCACACTCACACATGAACGTACTGCTTCTGAGGCTGCTGTTGCACGTGAGGAGGACACTGTCACTGCATTTGGGAGGGCAGAGGGGTGACGAGCACCTGCCCCTGGCCCTGGCTCACTCCTGCCAGGCCCTTTCCCTGGGTAGTCTGGGAGCCTGACTGCCCCGGGAAGGTGGGGAGAGCCTTCCCTCCCGTCCCCACCCTTACTCCGAAGACTGATGCAAATTGCCCACTCCCGGCCGCTACTCCTGTCCTCCCCCGAACTGCTTTGAGCCCTCCCATCACACCCTGATTTTCTATGCCCTTTTGGTGCGAGTACAATTGTCATAGTCATGGCTTTGGATGGGTTCCGGTTATTTAAATCCTATTGCTCCTAAAAATAAAAAATAAAAATAAAAATACTTTGTATATGGGAAGGAATTTATAGTTTCTTTCTTTTTTCTTTTTTCTTTTTTTTTTTCCTGGCAGAAGGGGAGTCATTGAGAAGTTGCAGTAAATAGATTTAGTGTCTGGACACTGTTTCCTCATTGCAGATTCTGTATTTGTGAACATTCACTGCTACCAAGCAGTTTCTGATTTCTTGGCCACGTGTGTCTTAGCTAATGTTTGTTGAGCTGAATTCAGTCAATTTATATCTCCGGCAAGTCATTGCTTTGTTAATAAAGCTGTACTATTTTGTGTGTTTATATTATTTTCAAAGTACTGCTGCACATTATTTCCTGTCAACTGATAGTCACTTTAGAAGGTGATTTGATATTACATTAGTTTTACCTTTAAGTTTCTCCTCAAAAGTTAAAAATCAAACACATCTTTTACTTTCAGGAAATGCTAAACATTCATGAGCATTATGAGAACATTAAGCATAAAATTTCTGCTGATAAGTCCAAACCAGACAAAGCCCTCAGCTTGATAAAGGATGATTTTTTTGATAATATTAAGAACATAGTTTTGGAACATCAGCAATGGCACAAAGACAGACAGGTAAGTAGTGAGCTGGCTCCTTTCCCTTGCTTCACACGTGAGGGTTTAGACCTGGCCTGGCTTGATGGCTGTGTGACTGTGGAGCCAGGATTTAGGGTTTTGCCTTTCTGGTTTTGGCTTTGTTGCTCAGTAGCTGTGTCGTGCCATTTAACTGCACAAATGGATTTTTTTCTCTGTGTGTGTGTGTGTGTGTGTGTGTGTGTGTGTGTGTGTGTTTTATATACCATAGATTTATTTATAATCTTTGTAGTTGGTATTTCTGTAGGTTGCAAATTGGCAGTCTTTGGGCCAGATCTGTTTCTTCAAAGATATATACATATTTTGGCATAGCATTGATCTCAACTTTGTTTTAAAATTTTGAATAAATCACCCACACTCTGACAGGGTGTCTGCTTCCCTTCTGCCACATCCTGTGCCTGATGTGGCTTGTCTGTTTGCAGATTTCATCAGCACAGATTTCCAGTTTAGTTTTCTGACCCAAGAGTGTTGGTGCTAGAGCTGGCCACATTAGCCTTTTCAGTTAGACAAACTCCTTTACTCTGGAAACCTGAATGCCACTATTGATAAGTTTACCTTTTAAACTACTATTCATTTTAGTAAGTATGTCTAGGAAACAATTTTTAAAATAAGCCATTTCTGGTTACTTGCTGTGTATCTGATTATGAGTATTCACAAATGCTAGGTAGATATTTTGATCCACATTTCTCCTCTCAGAAAGATTTGCTGCTAATTTTAGCTTTCCACGATATAAAATGAACTGGCTTAAAACTTAATTATAATTATAAAAATGGTAAACAAGGGAAGAGATGAGATGATCGTCTTAAAGGAAGACCAATAATTACTCATGTATTTTAAAGAGGGTGCTAGGTTATAGAATCGTTGACTACTTTGAGTCACAAATAGGCTACATGAATACCTTTTCATAAAGCAGCCCGTTAGTGCTCTTTTAAAAACAGACAAACTCTCTTAAATGAGCAGTACTAAGCCAGGCATGGTGGTGCATGCCTGTAATGCGAGCACTCTGGGAGATGAAGCAGAAAGATTGCAAGTGCAAGACCAGCCTGGATAATTTAGCCAGACCCTGTCTGAAAATAAAATAAGACCTGGGGCTGTAGCTCAGTGCAAGGTGGGTTCAATCTCCAGTGCTGCTGGAGCTGGGGCTGGGAGAATAAAGAGCCATGAAAGACCTCAGAAAACCTGAAGGAAGGGAAAATAAAGCAATTTTCTTCATACTACATAGAGTGCATATTGTCTTTCATTACTTAGAAGGATTTAGGTATTTAATGATGAATTTTACACATGTTCTGAAACCAAAATGCAGTCATCTTGTCAGATGGTGAACTGTGCTGTAATTATATGAAGTGATCATATAGTGTGTTAGTAATTAAAAGAACTGATTCTAAATGTAAAATTGATTTGTATTTAATGAAACTGTAAATGTGTGTGTGTGTATACACACATATAAATAGTCTATATAAATGAAGTTTCTGTTCTTTCAGAATCCATCCTTAAAATCAAGTCTTAAAGATGAAGAAAAGAGAGAAGGAAATGCACAAGAACCACAGGTCAGAGCACAGCTCTGTGATTGCTTACGGGGCGACAGTTTGGTTAGGTTCTTTTCATTTCTTTTTGTGGCTGTAAGTGTGTATATAAAGCATCACGATCCTTCGCATTAGAATAACCGAAAAGGTTCAGAAAGCTAGTCCATCTGTCCTAGAACCTTGCGAAAGGCCCCATGAGCTCTGTGAGGTATTGAGTGGGCTGAGGCTGTGAGCAGCTTTTACGGTGAAGGGAAGGCTGGTGATGGAGAGCACCCACAGCTCTCAGGTGCCAGCCTTCTGCCAGGGTGCAGCCCACGCTGTGATCCGCTGTTTGCTGCCTCCAAAGTCTGTATTCATCCTAGCGGAGGAGGTATGAGCGAACGGGCAGGGAATGGTGGGCCATGGCCTTACCTTACCAAGGCTTCTGTCCCTCTCTTCTTGCTTGGGTCTTGAGTAGAAGGGGCCGTGGCTTTCTGCTGGAGGATAGAGTCAGTGTTTGTGTTCTGGGGCTCCCATGTGTGCTCAGAAGAGTTCCTCTCTCCTGCCCTCGTCCTGTTTCTTCTGATAACAGTTATGTAGCCATTCATCATTTCACCTGGTGTTAGGGTGTTTTAACTGTTTCCTTGTTTATTTTTATTCTAGAGATGTGAAAGAGCTGAATCATTGGCAAAAATAAAATCAAAAGCCTTTTCAGTTGTTATTCAGGTAAGTTATTTTTTCATAAGGTAATTTTGAAATGGGATTTTTTGAAATCACACTTTAATTTCTCATCAAAGTAATACAAATACTATGGATGGTTTAAAAGCTGAGTAACAGCCCATCAGTCAACAGCTAGCCCAGCAGTCCCTGTCCCATCCGTTCTGCCTCTGTTCCTGCTCCTGAGAGGTGCCCTCCCTTCCTCCCCCCAGCTTTTTTCTTAGCTCTTTCTTCTCTGTCAGCTGAATTCTGGCATTTGCCTGGATTCTGGAAAGTTTTCTTCTCATTTTCTCCTTACCTTCAAAGTTAATCCTGTGATAAGGCACCTGGGTAGGGCTCTTTTTATTCATTGTCTTTGGCACCCCTGGTGGCTCTCCTTTGATGGGCTACCCTTGTGATTCTGAGGAGCTTTTTGGTATTTCTTTGATGTTACTCTTTACTGCATTTTTTTCTTTTCTTGAACTTTAATTTCTTATTTTTCACTTCTATTTTCAATCTCTTAATCAGGAATATTTCTGAGGCAATGATACCTTGATTTTTTAAAAAGTTTCTGCTGAAATTTTTTATGAAGGATTTTTCTTATTCTCTAAATCTTTCCTTTAAACGTTTATTTTTCTTCACAGAATGCAATAAGTATATTAGCCATATTAATTATATTAATTTTAATATGATTATTAAATTTATAATATTATTTAATTACATTAAATTATATTAATTTTTTATGTTTCCTGCTTATTTTGATGTCTTTCATTCATTTTGTTCACCTCATGGGGAAATTTGATTTGGTTCTTGTCTAATTCAGTTTGTGACCAGAATCATAAAGAGAATTATGAACCGAGGTACCACTTTATTACTGAATGGAAATAACAAGGACAATAAATTACCTGTAATTTTTTAAAAGATGAACTCTTCATATGTGTGTGTGTGTGTGTGTGT